CAAAAAGTCTACGCCATCAAGTTCTATGTGGGTCATCGGACCCGGGCGTATTCGATCACCCCGGCACGGTCCGACGGTCCACGGAGTACTGGCTGGCTCTCTTGCGCCTCCTTGGCACAAGCGTGGCTTCAACCTGGGTGACCGCAACAAGCACTTGGGCATATAGGTGTGAATTATTTTGGGGTAATACCATGGCTCTGGCTGGGTAGACTGGTCTAGTTTCCAAACCTTCCAGGGGGTCGTTGCATGGGAGGTCCCCCTGTCTGTAATAAATACACATCATATACTACACTATACTATACTATTCTATCTATACCCATACCGTATCGATGTTTTGGGGTCGTCTAGGTAGGGTCTAAGAACGGGGGCTGGGATTCAAAACATCTCCCGTGATGCGATTTGAGCATAGTTTGCCTTGCATGTATCTAGATTGTTGGTTGTGATGATGTTTGAGGACGCTTTGACGTCAACACGTGTGTTTTTGAGATACTTTGAGGTGGTGCTCTTCCAGTTGCGTGGGTGATGAAAATGTTTTTTTTTCTGGTAGGTCTATATACATCCGAAAAAATGCGCCCTCTAGGCCTCCCCACCTCGTTGCGAAGAAGGATGAAAATGATGAAGGAGGCAGGCCGCAGCCAAAAAAAACAGCCGGAAAATCAACAAAATACTAAAAATCCCAAAAGCCTTCCCAGACATACATATCAAATGTCGTGCCAGTTCCTTGCCACACGACATCTGTGTTCCAATCCTTTCAGGCCAACTGTTGGCTGCTGGCACCGCATCGTTGGTGCCAAGCACATGGTTTTCCCATAATGGTTATCCGGTTGCACAACCCTGTTGAAACCCATGGGCAAACATGGCTGAAAGGAAGTGCAAAACTCGCGGCAACCAATACGGATTTTTGGACAAATTATTTCACAAGAACAAGGCTGTCAGGCCTTCCTGTGAAAAAAATATCACCCTGTTGGTCCAAGATGCCAACACAGTGCTGTATGGCTGGGCGGACGTCGTCTTGGTCTTTGCGACCGGATATGCATGTACTGGGCTTATGTTGCAGAATTCGCTGCCCCAACACTGGAAATCATATCATCTCAAGGTGCCCACGGAGAACCATTTCAATGTTCCCCTGAAGGCGGCTCGCTGCGATTTGCTGCAGCGTGTGAGTGTTACGAGGCCTTCCGGGAAGGCAATGAACCCTATATTTTTGTGAAATTGGCATAATCCAGAATATGAGCCCTTGCTGTGAACTGACGGGCCTTGGCGTGGCAGGGATTGCTTTGTGTTCCGTCCCCTCTTTACTTAAGGCATTGGAACTGTCTCAAATTTCAGGACCTATCATTCATCATCATCCCAGTGCTAGTGTCCAGACCTTTTCTATGGAAGTTGGAAGGCCGGCCTTTGCTGGTGAAATTTCACAGTGGGGGAGCCAAAGCAGTTCATCAGCAAGGAAACTTGGCGGGAGGCGAATGACAGTTGGTGCGGTGGCTCGAGGCCAGCTGCCAAAGTGCCCGCCACAGCCTGTGGTCAATCAGCTGAGGGAGTGCGAACGGTGATACGTTATACCCTTAAGTGCACGCGCGGCAGTTTTGGAAAGGCAATCGGAGTGTGGCAGGGTGATGCAAGTGACCACGCGCGCAAGAACTCGCTCGTCGCAGTGATTGATGAACGACGGTGTTCGTTTGCATTGTTTCACGCCTGTCCCTCGTGGTTGGTCACCCGGGATGAGCACAGGCTGCTCGAAGACACTTTTGAAAGGACAGCGGGGTTGAGTTGGGTGGAGGGGGGGGGTGAAGCAAGCACCATCACTTTCCTAAACCCGCGATCTGTATGAGATATCCGCCCCCTCAAACAAGAAAATGGAAAACGCTGAAATAAATTGCACTCGGCCGCGAAAGTCACGGCATAATAGGAAAAATTTCGTTCTGCAACGGAAATGCGGCGCCAGGAGGGGGTTCCGGCATACACCGCAACACCAAACTTCCCCCAACCGACAAGCGAACTTCCTGTCCCCCATGGAACTACGCCCCCCAACTGGGCCAGAAACTCACCCCAAGTGCTATCCCGCATGGAAACGCAATACCAAATTCTGAAAACTTGAAAAATCACACCACCAGGGTTTGCAAAACACAATGTGAACGCAGGTCACCCCAACATCTTAAACCATATTCAAAGACACCCAAAACCATCATGTTTGTCCATGAATCACCATGTGAACGCAACATGTAGGAAACTTTTCTCTTCCTTCAGAAGTCTCAGTCTCACTTCTTGTGAACCTTCTGGAACCGCTTGGCCCTGTTGGCCTGCCAAGCCGACAGCCAAGCATTCCTGCCAGCTGTCGACTTCAGCATGTTCTTTTGGATCACGTTCATATTGAATATTTCCCACAAGGTGTGCTTCTTCGAAGCTTGAGCCTTGAGGTGTCCCACATAGAACTCGGCCACTTTGACAATGTCCTTACGTCTCTTTTTGCTAAAGTGGCTCAGGATGAAGTTTCTACAGCCAATGTCTGTGGCCAGGTCATGCTCTTCGTCTGACAAGCAGTCGAACTCACTTGGCGGGGGTGCATCGCCTTTTTCTTCACATTGACCTTCTGCAACTGCCACAGGCTGGGCCACAGGTGTTTCTGCCGCAGGCGCAGGTGCTTCGGCACTTTCAGGCTCTTTCTTTTTCTTCCGAAGGGTCGCCATCAAATCATCCAGCTGAGCCAGAAGAGGTGCCTCCACAGGAGTGACATCTTTGACATCAGCTGGCGCCTCCTTCTTTTCCCATCCCTTACGATGTCCGGTCTGAAACAAGGCAGCCTTACTGCTGTCAAACTTGCTGCTTTCTCCGCCGCAGTGCGGGCAAAATTTGCAATCAACGCCCACCAGCTGTCCGCATGAATGTTTGTTCTTCTGCGGCGACATTCTTGAACATATCTCCAAAGCAGATGAAGCGGAGGACGATGCAGCCGTGCCCTTTCCATCCCTCAAGCTCTTGAAGATGTCCTTATGACCTTGGTGACCAAACTGAGACAGAGATTCTCATGCTCGTCTTTCCTGAAAAAAGACACGAAACAATGAATGATTGAAAGTCTCGTGTTTTCCGAAGTGAAACATACATTCGTTGATGGAAAAACGTGAAACATCTCTTGGCAACGACGAGCAACGCTGAACGAAAATAACCTCCCGATCATAGCCCTCCCCAACACGGATTCCAATCTGGGCCCAGCTTGCCCGGACCACACCAGGCTGCAGTGATGAGTCACAAACTTCTGACGCAGCCCGTAACGCCACAAACAATGTGAGCGGCTGTTGCTTGTGTGCCCAAGCAGCCTTGAAGGCCGCCCAGAGCTGGGCATGCTTGCATTGCAGCACAGACAATGGCATGGAACATTGGCCGTGATATGTGATGTAAAGAAAGAGCTCCTCCTTCTGTTGCTCTGACAACTGCACGTCCTGAGCACGACCTGGCAACACAGGTCAGGAGGATAAAGGACATCAAGTTATCATTTATAGATTTACAGATTTGGGAACGCCTGAAACACATCTCCGTCTACACATGTAAAGGCACCTGTTCGGAAAGCTGGAGGAGCTTCTTCAGGCAGAACACCCCCTGCAACAACGACTTGGTGCAGCATGCCAAGCTTCTTCCTCTCAATGTGCAAGGCTGCCAGCCTCTCATCGTTGGCCAAAGCATTGCAACTGGGGAACAAGCCATCAAGCAACCAGGACACCAGCTGGCGGTACATCCGGTATCGCCCTTCCACGTGCTGCAGTCGGTCACTGTGCGTTGCAGAAAGCGCTGTGAACTCCTGCAAAAGTTCACGAATCTTCTCAAGCAAAACTAAAGAAGTCTCCTTCACCTTCACGGGCTCCTGCTGCCTACTTTCTGCCACTTGCCCGCGGTCCAACTCTTCTGTGCCCGGCTCTTCCGCCGGCTCTACCACCGGCCCTTCTGCCGAAACTCTTTTCTGAATTCCATCTTTCCACGCACGGCGGTCCGCTTCAGTCATGCTCGACCGCCACGTGGACATGTAGGTTTTTTGTTTTTTTCTTTTGTCCGGGCCATCCAAGTGTGCCTGCACCCGGGCATACCAGCACTGCTCCGATTCCCGCTTTCTTCTCGGCCATCCACATTCAGGCTCAGAGTCACGCATTGGCAAGTCAGCTTCAGCTTGCAAAGTTCCTGGCGTAGCTGGCTCGCTCAGGGTCAGAGCTGGCTCTGCCGCAAGGCGCTCATCCAGGTTGCGCTGAAAGCAGGCAAGGCAATATTTCGGCAAGCAGCTCCGATTGTCCAGGGTTTTGCCGCATTGCATTCCAAGCACCGCACCACAGGGTCGAGTGGCTCATCTGCTTCTGGATCGCCAGCAGGAGGTGGAAGAGGCGGCGCCTCTGCCGGCTGTGGACATGCGCCTCAGATGGGACAACCGCCACAGAAATTCAAGGGTTTCCGAACGAGGTCCAAAACGAGGTCAAAACGACGTCCGAACGATGTCCGAATGTGGCCCGGCCAACCACTTGCCCACATAGCATTGAAACCTTACTAAAAGCATACACTCAATGAAAAGCAAGTGTCTCGAGGAAGCCGCGTCTGTGCGAGACTTGTCTTTGCCTTTGGCAACACTGACACTTTTCTCACCAGACTGGGTCTCTGCGATCTTCTCATCAAGCTTCGCCCTCAGCAGCAGATCACGGTCGCTGCTCTTGTACGGCGCACCCCATGAATCCAAAGCAGCTTGCAAATCCAATCGGGATAGTCTCGCTATCTTCGCCGCAGACAAATGTTCTTTGGGCGGCATGGTGAAACGTGCTTCCTGATCGCCCAAGCCGAAACAAAAAAACAAAGCAACAACTGCCTTGAAGCGATTCCTCTACGGATCTTCTCATCGAAAAAATGGAATACCGATTCTCCCAATTGCGGACAGCACCACTTTACCAAGTAGAGTTTCAAATCAGCATTGCGTGTACTGCTTGTTTCTCTGTCGCTGGCTGCTGTTACCTGCTCGCAACAAAGATTTTCCTTCCCGCGGAAGTTCCTCAAACTGTCCGCCCCTGCGTACCCCACGACAGTGCGTTTGCACTGTCCTACCCTGCAAGGCTGCAACAAAAAGTGTTCCCATTCATTTCTTCGATTTCTTAGGAACACAAGTCGCACAGCGACACACATCTGCATCTCCAAAACCTACCCGCACACGGTGACTCATGGTCGTAAAGACCCCCGAAGCTCCACCCCCGAAGCTCCACTTTCTGTTATCAGAGTTGGAGACCGAGAAACATCCAAAACAATGGAAGCTCTGAAGCAGGCATAGCAGGTGCCACCTGTACAATGGCCATCCTTGCACATCCATTTGACATGATGCTTTTTGGCACCACACAGAAGACAGAGAGCGCGCTCACACGGAAGCTCCCCCTTCTTCATGACAACCTTCCTCTTCTGAACGCGATTCAACGCTGTCAGGTGATCTAGCTTCTTGAAAACCTCAAGGTTCTGCTCACGCAAGGCATTCGCAAAGGCCCCAAGAGATTCTACCTGAGATGAATGTCGATCAATGTTACACCGATGAGATGGGTGGCCCCCTGTCGGTGTCAGGTTTCTTATATGAGCAATGTTCTTTAAAGGGTGAAATGCCTTCACACTGCTGGGTTGCCTTCACTGGAGGTTTTGCAGAGTTTGTGGGAAGGGTGGCTTTCGAGAGCCTTCGTGGCACATAATGTATCACAGACGTGCCTTCGCAGACATTTGCATAGTTACAGTCCAATCTAAATTTTACCATTCAATAAAAACGCTACTGGTATGAGTGGTAGAAGTAGTACAAATAGTAGTAGTAGTAGTAGTAGTAGTAGTAGTAGTAGTAGCAGTAGTAGTAGTAGTAGTAGTAGCAGTAGTCGTAGTAGTAGTTGTAGTAGTAGTTGTTGTTGTAGTAGTAGGAGTAGTAGTAGTAGTAGTGGTAGTGGTAGTAGTAGTAGTAGTAGCAGTAGGAGTAGTAGTAGTAGTAGTAGTAGTAGTAGCAGTGGTAGAGGTAGTGGTGGGAGTAGTGGTGGTAGTAGTAGTAGTAGTAGTAGGAGTAGTAGTAAAAACAAAACAACACAAGCCAAGCAAAGCCAGACCAACCCAAGCACCAAACCGCCCAGCCAACGACACAACACAACACAACACAACACAGAACAACACAACAACACAAACAAAAGAAAGGCGCACCCACGCCCAGCCAAGCATCACCATCTCCTTGCTGTTGCTCTCCAGGATGAAGGACCTGGGCCAGGGCAAACACACAGGGAAGAGCAAACAGGGGACGACACAACAAGAAACAAAGAAACAAACCAACAAACAAACAAAAAAACAAACACAGCACCACACACACACCAAAAAAATAAACAACCACAACGACACAACACAACACACACACACACAAAAAGAAAAAAGGGCGCACCCACGCCCAGCCAAGCATCGCCATCTCCTTGCTGTTGCTCTCCAGGATGAAGGACCTGGGCCAGGGCAAACACACAGGGAAGAGCAAACAGGGGACGACAACAAGAAACAAAGAAACAAACCAGCAAACAAACAAAAAAACAAACACAGCACCACACACACACACCAAAAAACAAGAAACAACCACAACACAGCAACACAGAAAACAAACACAAACAGTAGAACACCAACACAATGAAAAGCCAAAGCCCAGCCAACAGCCAACCTAGACCAAGCCAAACCAACCAAGAACCCACAATGCCAGGCCAGGCATCCACATCTGTCAGCTGTTGCTGGCCACCATCAGGAACCTCAAGTCCAGCTTACAGAGACCTATCATGCAAACAAAGGTAAGAAATACATCGTGCAAAATAGAATGCATGTCAAGAAGCCTTCTGAGAGGAAAAAGGAGAAGAAGAGCGCTTGCGCTTCGCAGGAGTGCAAGGCACCATGGATGCGAAAGTCCAGTGTGCTTGAACTAGAAACTGCAAAAAAAATCTCTTCAGCATCAGAAGGACAAGCTGAATACAGGAAAAGCTTATAGGAAATGACACTGGTTGATTCCTTCATACTAGTAAACACAAGCTGAACGCAAGTTGGTGCGAGTTCCTGCTCTAGTTCCCAAGCTGAACGCAAGATGTGGGATGAGTTGGTGCGAGTTCGGGGTTTGGGAGTAGTTGCAAAAACCAGTTTCCGCAACGAGCATGAACGAGAGGGCGAACGAGGTCAGAACCATGCCAGCAAAGAAAGTCCCTTACCTCATCACGTATATGCGTACATCCCCTTTTTGTTCGTTCCTTTTTTCGTTCATTCCCCAAGCAGCGTCACTACAGGTTCTTACGGTAATTTGTAAAGGCCGGTGTTGGATCGAGGTGTTGCACCGGGGCGTTTGGCTAACCCGTTGCTATTTACAATGCATTCATGCCAGTCGAAACTCCCGAAGTGCAAAAATTTTGGTGGGGCGCGATCGGAGTGGCTATACTTCGAGGTGAGGTTTTTTTGGCAGGCGCACCACCTTTGGCCATGGTGGTAATCTTCGACATGCCCTGATTTCGTGACAGGTGCAGTGAATCGTGACTTTTGGACATGTGGGTCGTTTCCACAAATCGGGGGAAGTCTTGCGCGAAAACTGCGTTTTGGTATCTTGATGTTGTCTTGGAAGCGTTCTTGCGGCAAAACGCCTGCCGGTCAGATGGCACCAGTCTTTCTTAATACAATTTGTCTGATTCGCCGTTGGCCCCGGCCGACTGCTCCAGGAAGCAGACACCGGTGTCGTACGCAGGTTCATCTGCATAGTTCTTGTTGTCCTCATAGCCGTTTTCCACGCGATGTTTTTTGGTTTTGCTGTTTTGCAGTTCGTCCAGGCTGCAGTGCAAAACGTCCGTCGACACTGCCTGGACTACAAAATTCCGGGAAGTGTTGGCGTTGAAGCCATGGTCACTACATGTGCCAGGCCAAATTGAAGCAAGGATCTCGGCGTGCCCTGCTCCAGCCATATGCTCACCTTCATAGCTGCTTTCTGTGATTCATGTTTTCAAGCATCTTCCAATACAATGGCCAGCACACTGCGAAGCTCATCATTGGTTTGCGTGATGACACCCTTTATGTCGAAGGCACTTGAAGCTGAAGCACGGGCAGCTTCTGCAACGCTTGTGGCGGGAATTGGTAGCAATTGTTCATCAGACGCTTTCTTGGTGACTCTCTCCACCTTCGACAAGGGAAGGCCCACCACCATTTTCAAAAAGGAGGACACATGTTGCCGCTTGGTGTCAGCAAACCCTCGGTTTGCTTAGCTTCCTGCGTGTGCCGTTGGCATAGGTCTTCAAATTTTTTGCGCCACCTTTCCTTCTTTTTGCTGTCCTTTGCTTCTGGTGAGTTTGATAACCAACAGCCGGAAAAACAAAGACGTATTTGTCTGTTGCCTTTGAGGCAAATGTCCTATTTTGATTTTAAGAGTCATGTGTTCGACTGATTTGTTTTGAGAAAACGGATCCAATGTTTGCAAATGATTGTTGTCCTGCCTTAAGGCATTAAGAGTTGAGCACCCACAAACCCGGCTTGGCTCTAGGCAAAAACAGACGCGGTGGACGTAGAAAATTTGACTGATCAGCTGCTGGCCGGCATGAGACAGTGCAGAAGCAGCAAGCAATCCTGCGAAAGGATTTGGCTGACCAGCTTGGCCTGCTCCAGGAGTTGAGCCCCAAGCATTGCAACTTGAAGCAGGTGTTCAAAGCAACACCTGCGCCCATGCTAGGCGCTTTAAAGGTGACCAGAAATTTAATCAAGCGTTTGAAGCAAGTGTTCAACGCAATACCTTTGCAGCACCCATCTATTAAAACCAGGTTTGAGAGGGACCGCCAACTATTGGCGGGAAAGTTTGCAGAGCAGGTCATGACAACGGGCGTTCAATGTCCGAAAATGGGAATCATCGACGGAAACACATATCATCACATATCCCATGAAGGACAACTTCCTTGAAACGCTAATCCGTGGGATGTTTCCCGGAAAGCACGCAGGTGAACCTTGCAAATTCACGGCGGGAGTTCATTTTTGCATTTCAAGTGCAAATTTTTCATCCAGACCTACCTAGAACCTGAATGACCTCTATTTTGGACCACCAACCACCCAAAATATGGCCTTTTCCTATCAAAACACGGGTCAGTTGGGTTCCAGGCAAACATATTATCAAAAGCAACTCTGTGCTCTATATCGCTCTCAATCCAGGAGCCTTTTTGGGGTTGAGATTGTTACCGTCGCGTCTAGGCCTTTACCTGTGAACTCTTGATATTTTTCGTAGAGAACGCTAAACCTCGCGACCTAGATCTTCTTGCATCAAAACGCTCAGCGTGGACCTTTCATGTCTACAAACCTTAAGACCGTTCCTTCGGCTTCTGCATTGGTAGACCTCTAAGTTTAGAGACCTCTATAACTATCTGCCTGGATCCAGATCTCTTTTGACCTCTACTTGGATCGCTTTCCCGACCTTGTTTCTAGACCTCTCTAAGCCTCTAGAAGTAGAGACCGTTTACATGTTTCACACTCTTTTTCGTGTCCTTTCCCTGTACTTTTTCTCCCCTGTGATTGTGGGTGCTCTACCTCGGACTCATCCTTTTCGAACTTTACATTGCTTTGGGCCTTTTGCAAGGATATAGTTTCTTGTCTCCCCGCTTGTCTGTCTGTAATCGGCGCTTTGTCTCTGCCAGCGTTGCCTTGTCTCCGAACTGTTTCTCCACCAGTCTCCACACTTGGTTGCCCGCTTTGCTTGATCGGCGTTTTGTTTGCTGGCTTGTCTTCTCCCCAAGCAAACGCGACACCGACAGAAACGCTTTAAAACTAGAACGTCGCCACGACTTCAACATTTGATTGTAAGCCCAACCAATACTTCAACATTTGATTGTAAGCCCAACCAATTTCAGACTACGTCACCTCGAGTCATCCCCACCATGACATTTCAATCAGGCCAAGGTGTGGTGCATGTTGCCACGCTCGTTATGTTTGTGGCTTTCGGCTTTGCATGTGGGATTTATCGTGTTATGAAGTTCGCGTCGGAGTGCCGCCAGGGTGGGGGAGATTTTTTGCGCAGCGACCTGCAAGGCACGGGATAACGTGTAGACCGAGTTCTTGACAACTCCTCGCTGGCAGGGTCCGCGAAGAGTTTCTCCAGTTCATGCACTCGTTCATGCAATGCGCCCCCACCCATTCTTCCTACGATTCATTATCTTGCTTGAATGCCTTGCTTCATCCTTGGCCCCTGCGAAGGCACACCAACGAAACGTGGCACATGGAGGCAGGCAGGGAAGATTCATTGTCAGCCCCCAGCCCAACAGCTCAGAAAAACAATCCTTTTGAACTGGATTTTTTCCGTGAGCGTTAGGATTCTCATGGCTTTCCGCGTGAAGAGAGAGCAGGACCAAAAAGCCTTGAATTAAGAATGGCCAGGAGCGGAAAGCCTGAAAATAAGAGATTTGAGCGCTTAGATTCGAAAACCTGGCAGGGGAGCATAAAGCACGCGAACTGTGCAAGAATAACCACATGCATGTGTCATCTTGCCGAATGACCCACCAGAAGGCTACGTACCTAACAAGTGCCCGAAAATTTCTCTGCACACGAAGGTGCCCCAGCCCCAAATGGACTTGCTGCTGACTTCTTCTCTGTTCCACGAGTCCCCGGGTCTATTAAAACATTTCAACAGGCAAGCTACACTGAGAAGCTCGAACGCAACCACGAACTGACAAGCAACCAACTGGGTGGTTCAAGGTTTGTTTCCCGCAGCATGGGCGGGCGACCAAAAAAGAAGGATGGTGGGCGCCCAGCTTTTCAACGACTGCCAAAAACGCTGGTTTCAAGAATTCGGTGAAACACCAATCACCATCTCAGTTGCATGGATTGTCGCACTTGGCTGTTGATCTACCTTCGGGTTAAGCAGTGGGCCGTGAGGTCCATGAGGGACACGATTTCCAAAAACTGAGGAAGTTCCTATAGCAGGAAGTTGGAAGTCCGAAAAGGATATAGTTGGAAATTCGTCAGAGTTCGCCTGGGGGGTTCGTCGCGGAAATCACCGGGGTTCGTCGGAGTTTGCCTGTTCGTCGGAGTTGGCCGGAGTTCATAGGAGTTCGCAGGAGTTCGTCGGGGTTCGGATCAGTCGAGACGAATACGCAGTGACCAAGGCATTAATAGGAAGACCAAGGCTCAAGGTTTTAGGATGTTTTAGGCATCCCATGCTGGGTGATGCACAGCGAACGTTCGTGGCCATCAAACAGTCTATCGCCAAAGTACACGTGAGAGCTATCAAACTGCACTGGTGGTTCCTGAAGAAACACAAAAACGGGAACGCCACGAATGTTGCGAATTGTTATGGAACCATCAAAGCTCGCGTGCCCCGCAGAACAGGGATCAATAAGGTGGGAACGCGTGCAAGTTCACCTTTTGTTCCTTGCTGTCTTCCTGTGATTCACCTCATAAAAATAAACTGGAAATCTCGGAAGCTGAAGAGTGAAGCCGGAAAGCCAGGGTACATGTATCCTTGTTCACCTCTTCTTACTCAGTTTGCCATGCTCGGAACATGCCGGTTTCTGATATGAGATCTTTCATGCGATTGGGGTGAAGGTGGTGCCAGTGCTAGGTGAACCTGTAGTGTGCCACTGCGATTGCGTTCTCTGTCATAGCACTACTCAACCTGAACGGGCGCGATCATATGCTGAAGATGAACAGCCCGTGCACTTTACTACACGACATGTACGCGGCGGAGCATCCCATTCCGCAGTACGCACACCAACCAAAGGAGGACTTCATACGACGTGGCACGAGAAAGCTCAAGGACCCAGTTGGAGTGAAATCACAGGCTCGCAGTGCAGTGAAGCAGCAGCTTGTTTAGCAGCACACCTGAAGTCCTGAAGTACGCGGCCTCAATGGAATTCACATGAATTGACCACTGAGGCCTCACCCCAGCCATCAGAGGCCTCACCCTGCGTTAGGCCCAAATCTGGCAAACCTCGGACTGTGAAAGCCGAAGCAAAAGCAACTGCAGCAGAGTCCAGCCGAGTCAGTCGTGCCCCGTCGAAACACCAAACCCACGCACACCCGAGAACTGCCCTCACGCACACGGTACAAACGCCTGAATTGGCACGGGAAACCGGTCCACCATGTCTTGTAGATGATCCGAAATCGGGGACGGCATAGTTGAGCCACAGACAATGTGAGCACAAAGCGACCACAGCTCCATGTCTCTTTGTGTGCACGTCATCTTTTTGTGCGCCCAATTTGGGTCGGCGGGTTGCAAGCACACTGGATTGGTGTGTTGTTGTTTTCGAATGATGGGAGGCAAGCATCGGAAGGCACACTTCCTTGGACTTTGCGTGGATCGGCGTCACTTCAGAACTCCTTTCTCCCCTTTAGAATCCTTTTTGAGAGGAATGGAGAATATGACTCAATAACTCCAAATGTCCTTTGGAAAAGGAGCTCACCCTCTTGACCAGGCAAGACTTGTTGGAGTGCGCATCGCTGAGATTGGTGCCCGAAAGGCAACTGTCAATCCATTTGGGGAATTGCGAATCCGTGATGACGGAGTATATATATAATATACTATTTATACTTACTAAAATGTCAAAGCTGCTTGCACAAAAATATAAACCAAACCATCCCAAACCAGGAATCCAAAGGGCCCCGTGGTAGTACTCTGGCACCAGTCACTAGTGAGCAAGGCGAGCATTTTTTGGAACAAACTATGCATGTTATGTTTGTTGTGTATTGTGTACTAACGTGTACTATATAGTACTAGTAAGAATCTTTGTAAATGGACTTTTGACAAACTGTGCAAACGCATCGTAAGGCTGCTCAAATGAAATCAGGTAGTTCTGCCAGCGCTTTCAGTCTCTCAACTTTTAGCCAGCTTGATGCATAGTTTCATGATGTTTCATGCAATGCTGCTATCTTAGAACGAAGCGAATGATGCATTTCTGTGACCTTGGGGACACAACAACAACCTTGAAAGGGTCCGGTACTCTCGCAAGACCTACGTACAAAGGGTCTCCCATGATGTCTCTCAAAGCCACGTACAACGTCAAGTGACCATAAGAAGCAGAAAGGGTGCCATGGACGTGCGAAGACGGCCAGTCTTGCATTTGTGTTGCCAACTCAGCAAGAATTGCTGAAAGGTCGGCAGCCGAAGCAACACCCCTGCTGGCCTCGAACTGCTGGAAACATGCCTTTGGACCGGTGAGAATGTTGGGGACCTGGTGCAGCGATGCTGGTGGTCGGCCGTCGGCCGTCGACCGGGCAAAGCACGGGCGCACGGGTCGCCGGTCGTCGAACTCCACCGAGGGCGCCGCTTCAACGGCGGTCGGCTGCTACGACGTCTTTTTCGAAGAAGCATCCGCGTGTTTTTCTGTCATGCTTGAGCTACGGCAGGATTCAAAACACATCAAAACACACATTGGCACTTCACAAAAGGGCGACCCTTCTCCAATGATTTTTGCCGGAGGTGCTGCTTAGGCAGATTGGTTCCGATTTGAGAGTATCCCGTCATTTGGTCCATTTGACACTGCTTGACTACTTGTTGGTGCTGGTTCCCAAAGACAGGAACTTCCTTTGTAGAGTTTTAGCGAGTGACCTTTCAGTCTTGCTGAGAGCATCCATGGATGCCCTTGACTGCGTTGGCTTGTAGGCATTGGAGCAGATCTTGACCAATCATCAGCCGAGTGCTTGGCAACGGGGTCAGCCAACATGAAGCTGTCCTTCGTCCTTCCGAGCTGCAACATGGCAAATGCCCCATAGTACGGCCAGGAGCCCCTAGTAGCGTCCTTGCTCCTAGTAGCCTCTCCAAGCTGGAGCTGAATCCACCAGAGTGTTCTCTTCAACACGCTGTGCCCGCCCAAGACTCGCTCGGGCCACCGCCCACCGGTTTTCCGTTCGCGTTGGAGGTCGGGCGTCGTTCGCTGGGGTCGTTTGCGCCGATGAGTTGGGCGGTCAGAAGGCTTGGCAAAAGATTCCAAACTGAAACAGCAACCAAATGAGTCTGCATCACCATGAAGAGACCCAAATGCTATAGCCTTACCACCAAACTCTCTCTTCTTCAAGCACAAAAAACGGCATGCAGAAAATACGCCCAGCTGCCTTTTTCTGAAACTGCGAAACTGCAATGTGGCGAGAGCTACAGAGCTTCAAGCTGCGAGTTTCTCAAGATCCAGCTGGACGATTCTTGTCCAACAAAAACTGAACTGAACTCCTGAAAATATAGATAGCACCAGGAAATATCGGTTAGCACTCTTTTTTGGATGTTCTCCAATTCCCTCGAAAACGACCATGCTTAACAAGCATGGACGCAACTCTGCAGGTGTCAATCACAATGTGGAGAAGCCGGCAACCTCATAGAAGCAACTTTTCAGGAATGCCCCATGGATCAGGATCTATGTCTTCACACACTACCCCAGGCTCCACCAATTCCATCCAATTCCAATGTTTGCTTCTCTGAGGGCAAATGCACGGATCAGGTGATTGTCAATCATGATGATGTGCTGTCCAATGCGAAGTAGATGATGGGAATTGTGGAAGGGCTAGCAAGGGCAACCGAGGTATGGCAGAAAGGAGTCCTAGGTCCTAAGCATTCAGTCTGGATCCATCGGTCTGCAGCTGAACTGCATCAGCCCGGGCCACGGCCAGGGTCGGCAGCTCTGGGGACTGGAAGAAGGGCCGCATAGGACCAGTCGCCACGAATCTTCCAGGCCTGGATGTTCAGCTAGACTAGTCAAATGCTCATCCTTTGGTGGTCTTCAATGGCGGAGAAATACCAATCAATGGTCCCCATGTTGGTGCTTGGCACTGCCGCCGCGCATTGGACCGGGCCGTGCCAACACCTGCATCTGGAGATTTGTCCACATGATTAGACCTGTTCTTGAAAAACTCTGAAACAACAGAAGGTCGGAACCAAAAAACATAGAGCTCTGCCCATGCTGTTCCTTGGCGAACATCTTCAACAACTTCATGACAGGTCCCATCCTTCTCTTTCAAATATCAGCAAGGAATCGCAGGTGCCAAAGCCTTCTTTGGACACAGAATGCACGACATGGTCAAGCTGCTAAAGTCATCTGAAACCCTTTTCTCCAGTAGATGGCCAGCAGGGGGGACCCAATCTGGCTCAATCCCAGGTCGTTCCAGTCCGAGGCTTTTGCAGCTTCACAACTCCGACACACGGTCACATCGTCGCATCCTCACGCTCATCTCAAGCTGCGGAGCGTCTCCTGTGGACCGTCCAACTGGGGCACCCGACCATGAAAGCTGCTGGTGAAAACATTGCACAATTTCTCTAGTGTGGACCATGAAAGCTAGGATTATCTGTCTTATCCTATGCCAAAATGTTCATCGCTGACCCTTTCAGACGATGTGAATATTGAATAGACCCAAAAGCACTCCATCCACCTGCAAAAAGTGTATCATTGAACCCTCGAACCTCGAACCACTGGTTTGTAGAGACGCTTTCGAGGCTTTCAGATTCCATATAAAAATCTCCAGTGATCAAATACCCACTTTGCCTCCTGGAACGTCCCCTGTTGCTCTCCAAAGCTGGATGCCCTTGTGTCTCTCTGCCCCAGCAAGTGTGTCGCGATCTCTCCCGTGTCTCTCCCGCCGGTTCATCCGGTCGTTCTGCGGTCCGTTCTCCTTGGCCTTCTTCAGGTTCCGCCGTCGCACCCGCAGCGCGGCGTCGTTGAAGCGCAGCGGCAGGGCAGCGCTCAGGTCGCTCCAGGCCTGCAGCGCATCCAGCGAGGAGGGCTCGGTGTCCGCCAGCTGCGGGAACGGCAGCGAGAGCTCCTTGGGACCTACGGCCGCCCAAGGACGTGCAGATGTTGTGCCATGGTTGGGGGCAGGGTGGTTTGGGTTTGGCTGGAAAAGGCACGGGTTGGGGAGAGCATTTGACTTGCAAATGCCCGAAGAAAGGCAGGGTACTTTGTCAGGTTTGCTTGTGGAGGTCGGTGGGTGAAGAACTGAGTTTGCTGAATCCACATGACATGACGTCCCAGTATGCTCGAAACATGCCACTCTCAACAGCATGCGCCACACAGTTCCTAACCTCCCAGCCTCCAGGCGTGGGCACCGCCACGGAAAGCTCCAAGGTGCTCTGGCCCGAGGGAAGTCCCTGGAAGCCCACATGAAGCTGATGCTTCGTGGAACAATTCGGTTGATGGATTGGTGCACAGTTTTAGTCGAACAGGGAAGTCCATCGCAAGCCTTTCACGAAAAATGCATGGCATGCCAAGAAGTCTGAAAGCAGCCAGGCTACATAGCCCTTGCCGTACCTGTAGCCGACACCAAGGCCAACCAGCATGGGGCTGCCGGGGCCTTGATGAACAAGCTCCGGAGAGACTCCGACCACCACAGAGGTGCAAATACCTTCAACGGGGACAACCAGTCTCCACATGGAGGTGTTTTTCCACCTGAACTTCATGGTTTAGTAACACACTGGCCAAGTCGGCCCTTTAAATCGGAAACATAATCCGACAAAGGCGAACTCTTCATGGGATGGATCGTGATGATCATTGGCTCAATGAGGCTACATAGCTGTAATAGTCTTAAGATTTGGTGTCAGCAAAAGCCACAGCTGCATCGGACTATGACTCCCTTTGGCACCTCGCAAAATGCCCTCGATCTGAGTGCTGCATCCTGCTTGGGACACCAGCGCCTGTGGTGGCAGCCGCTTTAAGACCTGACGTGTTGTGTCGCCGCAAGGCCACTCTTCAGGGGCAGAACCCACCAACATGTCTTTTTTCATCCGCATCCCTTTCACCTGCTCCCACCCCTAGTCATGCCACAAGAGCTCCAGTTGCCACTACGTAGGTCTTCTCCACCCAGCCTCTCTCCACCCATCCAGGTCCATCCAGCTCCACCCAGCTCCGCCAGGTGTGGACCGCCAGGTCCCCATGCCTTGCCTGTAGAAGGTCCCCTCGCGTGGCAAAGAGTCGCCTCACCGCCTTGGAGGTGTCGCTGCCCAGGCGATGCCCCGAGGAATTGGACACCTTCGACTGCGAGGCCGTGGACGCCACGAAGGAGAAGGTGTCCTGCATCCGCCCCGGCTCGGCGCGAAGAACGCGCCACCACGCGCCACCAATGGACGCGTGGGTTCGGGCGGTTCGGAAGAGCGGAGGATGTATGGCTCGTCCTTGATTTTGGGGGGGAGGGAAATGAAAGTCAGTGGGGATGTGGGTGTTGATAGGGGATCAAAGGATGTGAGTGGAGTGGTTCATGTCAAATGAGTCAGGTATGTACGGTATTGGGGCCCTTTTGGGAACTGGAACTGGATGAAACTTTTCCTGATTTCTTCTTTGACGTTTGCTTTCAGTTTCGCCGACAACTCACAACTGCAACAAGAAGTCTTTTGATGTTGTCTCAATCCTGCAATTCCCGAGCCATGAAGAAATTTGGTCTTTCTTTTGGTTTTTGTGGTCCTTTTCTTCGTTCTGGTCGTCGTTCTCTGAGGGTGTCTACTTCCCCATCCCATTATTGCTGTGATCATACACACTGACACCCCGGCGCCCCTGAAAGGGAAGGGTCGTCGGGTGGCGTTGGACTTGTTGCGAGTATGGTTAAGAACTGGAACAGGGTAGCAATCCTCGCCCAAAGGTCCTCACTCTCAGCCGCTTCCTCGCAGTCGCTGCTGCGCCCTGTAATCCAGAAGAAGAGCGCATGCAAAAGTAGAAGCGATTTATTGTCTGCTGTTGATGGAAGAAACACTCCCCTTGCGCAACTTGGCTCATCGATGGAGGAGGAGGGTCTTCCTCTAGCGGTCAAATGGTCTCATCGCCTGTACCCAACAGGGTGTGTAGCATTGACTGTAAAATGGTCCAAAGCAAAATAAACTGTCAAATAAGCTGTCTAAGTGTTTTGGGACGTGATGGATTGGTCGAATTGTGATAAATTGAATGGTCTTTGCTTAGCTTTTGGGCATTGCAATCTATATGTCCAATTGCCCCTGCGATTTTCAGACTTTATTTACAGTAGATCTATAGAGCAAACCGGGACATCACAATGTCTAGCTTACTACAACGTTATGCCATCCCTTCTGTTGACGTGCTTCCTTCTCACCAGCACAACAATGGAAAAATCACACCACATGAAAGCAATTCAGGACACCATGTTCAGCAAGGTCTCCGACTTTGTGTGAAGAAAATGGTCCGCCTTAGTCTACATAGTCTACATCAAGATGTCAACACGCGGTCTTCTGTTCGTTGTTGTTGTTGTTGTTGTTCTTGTTCTTGTTCTTGTTGTTGTTGTTGGTAGAGACAAAAACAGCAGCCCAACATAGCTGTCACAAGTTGCAAGTCAGGGATTTCAATGGGATTCTGTTAGGGATAGGGTCGAAGGTTTGGAGAGATGTTAGTAGCTGGACTTCTTGTCGTTGTGGTACTCAAGTCTTGGTTGGTCTGCTTCTTGTTTTTTGTTGTGTTGTTTTGGGGGGGGGGTCAAAAAACAACAACGGGGTCGCAGATTTTGTTTCTAGCGGGGGGTAGAGACAACAACATCTTTTGGAAGGGGGGGGTCCAAAAACAACCACGGGGTCGCAGTTTTTGTTTCTAGGATGTGGTAGAGGTTCTAAGTAGAAGTTTTGCAGGGTTTACTTAACCAGTTACAATAAGCATCACCAGTAGCATGACCCTCAGACGAGTTTCATAGACCCTAAGAAGGCGTTTAAATCGACCATATTGTTCCATTGGAATCCAACAACTTCCAGGAGTCTCCAAGAAAAGACTGATTTTCAGTGCATAGATTGAGAACCGGGTTTCCATCCCCTCCGCCTCCACACACGCCCCGCGCACTGTCCACATCGACTACACTGCCATTGGGGTGTAGTAGTAGTAGTAGTAGTAGTAGTAGTAGTAGTAAAGTGCTTGTTGTCTGGTTGTTTTTTTTGGGGGGGGGGTCAAAAAACAACGACGGGGTCCCAGAATTTGTTTCTACCCCCTTGTAGAGAAAAAGAAAGAAGATGTGGTGTAACAGGGTTGCAGTTTTTGTTTGTACCTTGTTGTTGTTGTTGTTGTTGTTGTTGTGGTTGTTGGTTGTTGGTTGTTGGTTGTTGGTTGTTGGTTGTTGGTTGTTGGTTGTT